CTTTCTCCATCTATCATGATGTTACCCACTGGCTCAGTGGTAAGGACCTTTTTTTTTTTTTTAATGTTAAGATGCAAGCCATATTAAAGGCTGTAGACTTTGATCTGAAATAGTATTTTATTAAAACATTAAAATGGTAGCCAACTGAGGGTTGATGGTGGTGGTGGTGTTATATGCTGTCAAGTCACCTGCAACTCATAGCAACCCTATGTACAACCGCCCTAAACCCTGCTCTATACTGTGCCAATCTTATTGTCTCTGACACACCTACCCCCATTACCCCAGTCACTGAATCGCTGCATCTCATCATTCTTGCACTGTCCCTCCACCCTCCCAAGCATGATGCCCCTCTCCAAGGACTGGTCCCTCCTTGCAGTATATTATTTTTTTTCAAGCCAGTAATAAATTTGTTTTCATATATAACTCAATAATAATTAATATACCTCATCTTCTATATCTTTAAACATATACCCATTGTTTGGAGACTTACCTCCAAAAGTGTGTTTGAAAAATACTTTAAAAGTAAATATAGAGCAAATATAAAGAGCCAAGAGGCTTGGCAGTCGCTAGTGTAAATAAAATTTGTTGTTTCATTTTGTGGGACTACCACAATCATTTCAAAGCAATGATAACTAGATACAAAGGCAGTATCACCCCAAACACTCTGATGTGTTCCAGAGTATTTGACTGCACCGGGGCATAACACTGATGTATAAATTATCATTTTAGTTGCCATCCACCTAAAGTATCAATCACTGAAAATACCACAGTCACTAAAAGATCACTGGTCCAGGATCCTGATCCTAGCAGAATTCTTTTGCTTGAGAGAAAAAAGGAGATAATTTTTCTTTTGGAAGCTTTGTTGATCAGCATTTTGATACCACCAAATTAAACGGCGCCTGTCATATCCCCCGTTCGGCCAGATGGCTACATTGTTTGAAGCTGCTGGAAGAAGGCATTGGTTTTCTTGGAAGAGAAGCGTAAGCATGTATTTGATCCAACCCACAAGTCAAATGACTAGAATTAAAGGCATTTGGACATCATGCTTTTAATAACTCTTGCTACGTGCTCTCTTCATAGAAATGATTCCTTGAATGGGTTTTTGCTGACCTCTGAAGAGATGAAAAATATACAGTAAAGGAAGTCAGAAGTCCTTGGAACCTCAGAACCCAGAGACCATACAGCCTCCTGCATAGTGCTTTGCCTTTGTTGCTTTTATTAGTTGCCATGCAATTGCCCTGACTTGCTGACCACAAGTGCAGCAGAACAAAATAATGCCTGACCTACCATCTTCACAGGTCAGCTCACGTGAGGTCAGCTCAGGTGAGCTCAAGATCTCTGCTGCAACTGCTGTGTGTGTTCACTGCCCTCTGACCTCAAAGGCTCATCTCCCAGGACTAGGTCACACAACATCGTGCTATGATTTGCTGTTTTCATTTTTTTATCCTTTAGAAGTTCATTGTCAGGCTTTCTTTTCTGGGTCTGTCTTAGTCTGGAAGCTGCACTGAAAACTCTCTGCCATTGTTGTTGTTTGTTGTTATGTGCTGTTGAGTCATCTGCGACTCATAGCGATCCTATGTACAAGAGCCCTGAACCCTGCTCTATCCTGTGCCAACCTCACTGTCTGACACACCTGCTCCAACCACTGAATCGATCCATCTCATCCAGGGTCTTCCTCTCTTGCACTGTCCCTCCACTCTCCCAAACATGTCTGTGGCAGAACATAATACCATCCTTCACACACTTGATAGCCCCTGGAAGTTGTCACACTTGTGGTATTTTTCAGTGTCATTAACTTTGAGATTTAGTGCAATTTCTTCTTACCCTCTTGATAAATGTTTACTTTCATACCTACTTAAGAAATTGTAATGTTGTCCTCTTTCATTTTTAAAGAAGGTCTCAGCAAAGTGTAATCACATCAGGTCCCACTAAACCTGAATCATCTTCTACCCATGAAATTAAAAAACATGTGCCCAATAAAACGTGTAACTGTTTCACCCCATACTTTGTTCTCCTCGCAGCCCAGCTAGCAAGTGTGGGTGCAGAGCTCTGGTGGCCTAGTACATAGAGGGTTGCACTAGTGATGTAAAGGTCTATCCTCTCTGGTGGTTCAAATCCACCAGCCACTCCTTGGGAGAAAGATGAGTCATTTCCTACACAGTTTATAGTTTCAAAAACTCACTGGAGTTGATTCCAACTCCATAGCAATGAGTTTCAAGTTTTCAAGATCAAGTGTACAAGGTTTCCTACAGATGCAAACAAAGTTCCACATTTCAGCTTTTTTTTTTTTAAATAAAGGAGATTTCACCCTCAGAAAAGATAATATTGGAAGGGAGATAGATTATCAGGTGCACTTCTTTGATGTCCCTCTTTGCCTTTTCTCATTATGATAAGGGGAGCAGTCTTGTGATTCCCAAGACCAGGGTAATGGACATTTTCTAAAGGACATGGAAAATCATTTAAACAATTCCATAACTACAGTTGCAGCTACATGTTATTAAAAGTTCCTGAGTTCTAATGGATAGTGAACCAGGTTTTCCAGGGCTGTTTTGATTCCCATCTGAATATTGTCAAATTGCTACAGATCATGAGCCCTTTCAGAACTCTACGTAGAGTGTAAGTTCCCATGTTCAGTGTCTACAAGGGCACAAACCAGTGCCTTCTTACTCATCCATCTTTTGAGTCTAAAGAGTAAGAATGAGAGTGATGGTTCATGGTTTTCTTCAAATGCCCATCAGGATATCTTCAACAAACAGATGAGGTTATGGTTTTGTTATGTGATGGAAGATATCTCTATATTGACTTTTTAAAATTTTATTTTATTCTTTCGTGTGCGTGTGTACCGTCAAATCCGATCTGACTGATACAATAGGAGATCAACCTTCCTTCTCCAGCAGAGCATCTGGTGGATTCGAACCGCATGTCTCTGGGATTGCAGTGCAGCTTTTTGCCACTAGGCCACCAGAGCTCCCGTCTACATTGACTTTTACACAGACTTTAATACAACAGTTTTGTGTTTCCATTTTCTAGACCGTGAAAGGAAGATACAGTCAGTGAATCAGAGGTGGCAGCATGAGTAGGATGAAGAAGGCCAAGGGTGAAGCAACAGGGTCAATGTCAGACCAATGACGTTACACGTGTCATTCTCAAATCAGCTCAGAACCAATGGGTTTTTTCTTTCTTCAGCAAAGATAGCTCGGTCTTTGACTTGACTGTCTGTGCCTTTTACAGGTCTGCTTTGTGAACCTGGATGTGAACAAGGATGACTGCAGCACGGAGCGCCTGCAACAGGTAAGGCGTGGGATTCAAGCTCTGCGGACGTCTGTTACCAAGAGCCCTGTACTGACAGAGCATTTGACGTGATTTTTATCTTAAATGATTCTTATGTTGTCAGAAGACTCCTTCATTCCTCAGGTGACTTCAGCACAGCCTATCTCCCTGGCCCTTTCATGCCACCTCTTACAAAGTGGGCACACCCACGCTGGGAGGCATTGCTTTCCTTCCCTTGAAGCCGGCTCAACGGCTCAGTAATGTGGCTCCTCACTGATGTATCTGCCAACTCTCAAATGCCCTTTCTGGATGACTTTTCCAAGGTTTTCCCAATACCATTCCCTCTGGCTTTCCATTGGCCCTCTCCTGATACATTAGACTCATGCTTCCTGCTCAAGTTGGCTTACCAATCCTGCATATACCTGGGGCAAGTGTTTTATGACACCTGAGTAGGGGAAGAATGAGCTCGGAAGAAAATACATGCTTTCTACGGGGAAACTCAGGTCCGTTTCACCAGGTGCCACCTTTGCTTTTGTAACACCTTAAGGAAGGAGATCTTTTGAGTAGCTTTTTTTCTGCCCCACTGCAATGTGACATTTGATTTCTTGACTGTTCCTTCCATGGGTGTTGATTTTGGACCTTAGTAAAACAGTTGACTTGTTATGGTTAAGAGCAGGCATTTTCATTGTGTTGGTTATATAAGTCTGAGCAAGTTACTAATCTTCTCCAAACTTAAGGATGCTTATGTGTTAAATGGAGCTAAAAATGGTGCTTCATCCACACAGAAGTGTGTCAGAGATGAGGATGGTACAGAATGGGACAGGCTTCAGATCTGCTGATCAGAGAGTCACACTTCACTCAATGACACCTAATAGTACCAACCATCCCTACAGAATTATTTGGGGATCAAACGTAATGAGCTAAACTAGATGTAAAGTTTCTTAGCATGTTATTGTTGTTGTTATGTGCCATCAAATTGCCTGTGACTCATAGTGACCCCATGTACAACAGCCCTAAACCCTGCTCTGTCCTGTGCCAATCTCACTGTCTCTGACATACCTACTACTCCCATTACCTCAGTCACTGAATCAATCCACCTCACAGAAGGTCTTCCTCTCCTGCACTGTCCTTCCATCCTCTGCATGGCATCCTTCTCCAAGGACTGGTCCCTCCTTGCAACATGCCCAAAGTATGCCAGGTTAAGCTTCAGAATCCTTGCCTCCAAGGAGCAGCTGGTTTAACTCTCTCTAGGAAGAACCTGTTTGTTTTCTTAGCAGTGCATGATATATTCAATACTCTTCTCCAGCACTACAGCTCAAAGGCATCAGTTCTCCTTCTATCCCTCTCTAGTCATTGTCCAGCTCTCTGATGCATAGCAAGTAATTGCAAATACCATGGACTGTATCAGGCACACCTTAGTCTCCAGAGTGACACCATTGCTCTTCAGTACTTTGGAGAGGTCCTTAATAGCAGACTTTCTCATTTATGTAAGTGAATACACATAAAAGTGTCTTGAAGTATTTGTGATCTATTATTTCCATTGCCATGAGATCTTAAAACTGGAATGTTACTTTTAACTACCAAAGTCATGATCAAGGGCTCAAGAGATGGATTTTGATCAATAAGAGAAAACTGTAGGTCAAAATTTCAAATTCTTGTAGAAACCAGACTTACTAAACCCATAGGATTGGGGAACCTCTGAATCTATTGTCCTGAGATAATCTTTTAAGCTTTAAATGGAGATGAGACCATTAAGCCACTTTAAAATTAGCAATAGTTTAGCTCAACTAGTGAAAAATGTTCATCTGAAAGAGTTCACCATTTTAAAGAATTATCTGTATTCAAATTAACAAGAGAAACTGTAAAGCAGAGAGGATAGTTTAGGGAGTTAGAAGCCCAAGTGAAGAGGGGTGCAACAATGTGGGAAGAGGGAGTAAGAGCAGTGACACAGTGAAAAGAATGTGACTTCTGTCATTAAATTCTCGATGCATAAATTGTTTAATGGGTGTGTATTCTGTTATGTAGAGTTCTTGTTGTTGATTGCCTTCGAGTCGAGCATGACTCTAGCGACCCTATGAACAAAAGGCTTGAAGCCCCACTACAACTACGGACATTTATCAAAGTTCATAGAGCTTCTGGAAGCAGGTTGTTTAGGAACTGGATGCCACTCCTGCTTCCAATAAGTAGAGTTACCAGAACTAAATAAAAAAGAAGAAGAAACAAAAAATGTTCTGGCATCATATTTTTTTTTATTTTTTTGGGGGGTCCTATTTTTAAAGTGAAAATAGGCCATCTACACTGAGAAACAGAAAAACGGAACACTGGTGCCTTAGGCCATAGGGAGGGGCGTGACTATTGCTACGGCCACGCCTCTCTGGTGGTTTGGATCCTCCGGGAGCTCCACGGGAGAGAGATGGGCAGTATCTTCCTGTGTGATGTATAGCTCCATAATCCCAGTCCAATCTCAAAGGCACAGGGTTCGAACCCACCAGCTGCTCCGTAGGAGAAGGAGCAGCCATCTCCACCGGTGGGATTAACTACCTCTGAAAACCCACCAGACGGTCAGCGATGGTCCTATTCCAACTCAGTGGAACACAACGACAACAACAACAGTCCCAGAGGAGGGTCACCATGAGTTGGATCCAACTTCACACCGTTGAAATGACGATGGTGATGATTACTAACGAAGATTCTTGCCTTATAGAAACTGGTCAACGTTTCCCCAGATCTCCCAAAACTCATCAACTCCATGAACGTCCAACAGCCAAAGGAAAATGAGATTGTCCTACTGAGTGGGTTAACATCTGGGAATCTCCAGGCCGATTTCGAAGTTTCACAGGTAAGAAATGGAAGCTCTTCCCAATTTATTGCCAGGTGATGTTGTGATCTCTGTGGTCGGGTCAGCACAAAGCAGCATGAGTTAGAAACATGCTATCCCATAAGTTCTGGTAAAATAAGAATCAAATATTCCTTTGTGTTCAAGTGCAGTCTTCAGCTGTACTTCTCCAAAACATTGCCACCCAGGATTTGAGAGAGCTTCCCTTACATTAACTCCTAATATTAACTTGCCAAGTTCATGGCGCAAGGTTGAACTGGACTGGTCTCTCTAGCCATTGATTAGCTTTGTTTCCACACATCTATGGAATCCATTGGAGAATTAAAATTAGACTTATCTTCAGTGTTTGGAACAATATCAGAATTCCAGTCCATACTATGAGGCCTGAGAATCCCACAATTCCATCTTTCTGAATGTTATTGCTCCTTTGTTGGTATTATTGGGAACCTTCGTGTTCATTTTCATTCTCAGTGACCATATATGACGGAGAGTTTTCTATGTTATAAACTTGACTGGCACACATTTCCAGGCCTTTCTCCCTTACCCTAACCCTGGGTAGTTTATTTAACAACCCAGCACTTAACTCTTGCACCACCAGAGCTCCACTATTTATCTTCTGAAATACCAAAGGAGCTCTGGTGACACTATGGCTAAGGCACTGGCTGTCAATTGAAAGACTGGCACATCAATCACACCAGTTTCTCAGTGGAAGGAAAATTATGCAATCAGGTTCTGTAAAGATTCACTGTCTGGGAAGCCCTGTGGAGTAGTTCTACTCCAAGATACTAAATCAGGCAAATGAATAAACACAGGAAGAGCCAGCATGCTCCTTCAGACAAGGGTGGTGAGGCTTCCTCTCACACCCTTCGGGCATGTTGTCAGAAGTGGCCGTTGTCCTGGGAAGAGGACATTGTGCTGGGAAAGGCAGAGGGTTAGAGAAGAGGGGGAGACCTTCAGGGAGGTGCATTGACAGGGACTGCAGTGATGGGGTGGAGTAGGAAATTGTGAGGGCGGCACTAGGCAGACAGAATCTCAGTCATACACAGATAGGGTCTAAAGACTAGGAAGTCGAATCTTGACAGCACCGAGCAATGAGAAGAAGAGAGGTCAAGGGTAGAAAGGGAGTTTTGTGGCCTCAAAAAAAAAAAAAATCAAATTCCTTCTGAAAATAATGTAAGATCTAAAATGTTATCATTCCATGTACTGATAGTCATCTACGTTAGATAAATTATTATGCTACGCACTTTAAGATAAATGGGTAAAGCTCTTTCATCAGTTTCTAAGAACATTATATGAGAGATTCCTAATAAACGCATTAAAAAAAAACAAACAAAACTGCTCAAACTCATTGTAATCAAGTCAAAACCTACTCGTAGCTGACCTCCCAGCTGGTTTTCTGAGGATGCAAGTTCCTCAATGAAAGATGTTTCATCTTCCTCCTGTGAAGCCACTGATGGGTTCCAACAATCAGAGGCGTGGCCTTTGGGTTAGCAGTGCAACCCCAGAGGACTGCCCCACCGGCGTCCCCCTCCACACCGCACGCAGGTAGTTAACGCGCTAGGTCAGGCATATTGGCAATGACACATAACAAGCTTGACATAAAACCGTGAGCTTCCGTGGTCCTCACCATTGTTCTTTTTGGTTTTGATGTAGATTTTTAAAATTTTCTTTAGACGTTCTAAAAGGTCACATTTTACTCTTGGTAAAGATGTGCACATGGTGTGTTAGACTCTGGTAGTCAAAACCAGAAAACATTTCTCCTCTTAGTGTGAAGGTTTAGTTTCTGATTAAAAAATAATAATAATAATCACAAATAATAGTTTAAAGGGCCCTCTTTTTAAACCAGACAAAACCATGATGAGCAAAAATAATACTTAAACCTGAATTCTGAGAATATTTCTAAATCAAATCTGCATCTCTCCTGAAGTTCCTTCCTGGTTGTGAACATTGGCCTCACCAGGAACAAGCTTTGTCATTCTTCTGTGATGAAACACACTGGGCCGGTATCAGTCAGATGGAACACATCCATGTAACAAATGAATCTCCAAGTGGAGCAGTCCCAGTAGAAAGCAGCTGCTCCTGGAAGCCAAGATCTGTGCCCAGTCCTACTGTGCAAACATCCTTCCCTGCCTCTGTAGACTAAAAGGAGACCTAGTGGCGGCGTATGGCATGTGCGGGCTGATAACCAGAAGGTGGACAGTTGGAATCCACCATTGCTCCACAGAACAAAGATTAGACAGTCTGTTCCTGCTAAGACATGTTGTTGTTGTTGTTGTTGTTGTTGATTGCCTTCGAGTCAAGGTCGACTCATAATGACTATGAACAAAAGACCTAATGCCTTTCCACAGCTATCTTCATTTCTCCAAGTTCATAGAGTTTCCAGAAGCATGTGGTTTAGGAAGTGGATGCCACTCCTGCTTCCCAACCTGTTTAACAACCGGGAGTTCCACCAAACACTGTCCACAATGGGGAAACCTTCTGGTATTTGATATCCCCATGGCACAAGGTTCATCATCATCATAGCAAACTCAGGTTACCCTATACAGCACATTGACAAAGAGTTATGTGCAAAGTGGAAGAATGTTTCTCCAAGACATAACAAGTTATGTTGATAGATAAAACCACCATTGAGATATAATATAGTTGGTCCCATTTAGTAGTGGTTAAGTGTTGGTGAATCAAATATGACACAGGGTAAGCTTTGCACAAAAGACATGAACTGTTTTTTTCTATGATTAACATCTTTTCTGACCACCTTGGAAGTTTGGTCTCAATGGCGGTTTCATCTGGATTGCGGTCAGGCAAGGGAAGTTTCTTTGGTTCTTTCTGTTGTTACTGTTCCTTGTCCACCCCTCAAAAGTGGATGGCCTTGAACCTTGCTAAGACATACAGCCTCTAAAACATGATGGTAAGAAGTTGCACCGCCAACCCAAAAGCAGGTGGTTTGAATCCACCAGCTGCTCCGTGAGAGAAAGATGGGCAATCTCCTCCTGTGTGATTTACAGCCTCTGCAAACCCACTGGAGGATTAAAACTCAATGAGCATTGCTGTCAGTCAGAATGTTCTGGAGAGCAGTGGGGGGGTTTTGTTTCATTTTGAGAGGGGGGGGGGCGTCATACTCGATATACCCAACAAGGGGTGACATTTTATTAATGAAGCAAGAATTCCAGTGCTTATTGTAACTTGAATTGTCTTAGCCAGGAAATAAGCAGAATGGAGTAAAAGTTCTTTCATATTTGAGGTCAACAGATCTGGATCCTTCTAAGCCTAGTTTGCCGGTCTATAAAGCTGGCATGATGATAATTTCTATACTACATGATTACCTCAAGAATGACATGGGGAGTCCTTGGGTGGAGCAAACAGTTAAATAAAAGGTTAGAAGTTCAAGTCCAGAGATACCTTAGGAGAAAGGAGTGGTAATCTACTTTTTAAAAAAATCACCATAATTTGAACAATATTTTTATATAGAGAGTGGATATACAGGTATAAGGGAGCGCTGGTGGCCTAGTGGCAAGAAGCTGTGCTGCAATACCAAAGGCACACAGTTCGAGGCCACAAGCAATTCCATGGGAGAAGGATGGGCAAACTCCTCCATTGCGATTAACTGCCTCTGAAAACCTGCCAAAGATCAGCTATGGGTCGGTTCTTACTCTAAAACACACAAATAATGATGTGGTTGATGTTGTTGTTGAACGGCCTTCAAGTCATAGGTGACTCATAGAAACCCAATGAATGAAAAACCTGAACATTTTTATTACTTTCGTCCTTTCTCCAGGCTCATAGAGTTTCCAGAGGCAAGCTATTTTGGAAGTGGATGCCATTTCTGCTTCCAAAGCTTGTTTTAATCGGGGAGCTCCATGAAACACTGTCCACCATGGGTAACCATTATCGCACTTGACATTTCAGTTCCACATGTTCAGCATCACAGCAATCACAAATTACCTCTGTACAGCAAATGGACAGACCAGTGCAATACCACTTAGAAGAATGTCTGACCAAAAATAATTAAAAGCAGGTCTGAGGGCCACAGATTAAAATCATGCACTTTTGCTTTGGTAGCATTGCTTTCTGTCTACTACGCCAACTGAGCTCTATGATGTTGTTTTTGTTGCTGTTAAGTGCCCATAAGCCTATCAAATCACACTTTCAACTAAGTTTACTTAGCTCCTACACACCCATTAATTCTTGTTTGAATTAAAAAATAATTTCTCTTAAAAACAAAATTAGTTTATTATTCCTCTTATAAAAATGAAAATCCAGATGTCACAGTCCAGTGGGGATTTAACCTACACACAAGCAAGGAAAAGTTTTGTATTGTTAATTTGTTGTCGTTGTTCATTGTCGTCAAGTAGAGCACGACTCATAGCAACCCTATGAACAAAAGGCCTGAAGCCTTTCTATAACTATTATCATTTATCAAAGTTCATAGAGTTTCCTGAGGCATGTTGCTGAGGAAGTGGATGCCACTCCTGCTTCCAAATTTGAATTAATGAAATTTAATTAATTCAATTGTTAATTTAGTAGACAATAGTATGAGCAGTAGAAGTGAGTGATGAGAAATAGGATGTGGTTGGTTTGTGAAGCTAGAACTGAGCAGGGTTCCTGGGTTTAGCTGGGACCCCCGCCATTGAGTTTTATTTCTCCTTCACAGCTTTCTGTGTACGCTGGTCTTTCTGAAATGGTTCCCATCTAGCTGATTTTTTCAATTTCATGTTCACTGCTCATTCAGATGAGTAAGATATATTAGAAAACGTAAATGCAGTTGACGGAATACTTGCTACACATCTGAACTACCGGCCGAGGTGTTTCTGAATCTGAGACTGAAAAGATGCCCATCAGAGGCCCTCGATCTGGATTTAATCAAGCGAGGAAAGCGCGAACATCTGATGTGATTGTTCTGTTTCCCCAGAAGTTAAATATCTCCAAGGTTCCCTGTGTTCTCAAATATCATTTGATTCTTTTTTTAAGTAGTTTGTCAACGTAAGCCCAGAAGCTCTTTCAAATCTTTTAAAGGTCTCCATTACTTCTAAAGGCAAGGTCAGACGCAATAACCCTTTATTTCCTCTTTCAACAACCGCCTTCCTCGCCTCCCCCCTTCCAGTGTCCTTGGCTGCCAGATATCTGCTTGGTCCAGTGTGCCCGAGGGAACAGGCCCAACAGCACCAACTGCATCATCTTTGAAATCAACAAATTTCTGATCGGCCTGGAACTGGTGCGGGAACGGCAGCTGCACGTGGAACCGAGCACCTTGAAGCTGGAGGATGATACCAACTGCTCGCTGTCCTCCATCGAGGAGGACTTTCTCACCGCCTCAGAGCACTTAGAGGAAGAGAGCGAAGTGGAAGAATTCAGGAACGGTGAGGCCTTCCCGTTACAGCTAATGCAAACGCTTGAGATCAGTCACCCTCAGAACCTCCGCATGAGGTTTCTAGCTGTGTCAGTCTGGCTCAGTCATCATCACAGGCTTTGCTTTCTGAGTGGAGGGAGGGCAGAAGGAGGGGCGGGAAGATGGTGAGTAACACACTTCATAGACCTCTTGGTTGGATGCCTCCAGACTCCCCAAAGATACCTCGGGGATGCTGAAGGAACTCCTGTGCTTTAAAGGTAACTCCTCCTCCTGACAAGGCCTGGGGACTGTCACTGGGAGAGAAAGCTGCCAGCTCTAGGATATAAAAGCCACTGGCTGCACTGGAGCTGAGTTAGATGGCCTGGACTGAGATGTACTTTTCCTACTTTGGGCCTGTGGAACTTGGGGTTATTTAACTACTCCTTCTGAGACCTGGTTCTTTATATGGAGTTTGGGAGTTTAATAATAATGACAGCAAATAGCTCTAGTGGTGTCCTCAGCAGAAAGTCACATTTCCAACCCAGGGGCCACATCCCTCTGGCAGGTGGAGCCCACCAGCTGCTCCTCAGGGGAACGATAGGATTCCCCTCCTGGGCCTTTCACAGCCTCAGAAACCCCCTGGAGGGTCAGTGGGAGTTGGTTCTGACTCAAAGGCAATGAGAGTTTCCAAGGTAACACTTGATGTGAGGCCAGAAGGAGAAAAAAAATGCTTTAAAAATCAACTGCATCCCTCTGCTTCCCCTTTCTCCCCTCCTTGGATCCTTATACTCATTCTACAACAATGGTTTTTATACAGTATTTGTCCTTTTGGGACTGAGTTTGTTCACTCAGCATAATGCTCCCCAAGTCCCTCCCAAGTTAGGTAATAATTAACAAAATTGTACAGGGGGAGGGGAGGCTTAATCATGGAGTTGTACAGTTTGATGAGTAGGGGGCTGAGGGAAATTGGAAGAATCTGTCCTGGAAAGCAATGCATTTGAATTTTGTAAATAGACTAGCATAATAGAAAATTTAAAAAAAAATTTAACAACACAGTGAATTGTCATGGAGTTGTTGGGCACCCTGTGAGCTTACAGCAGCTGATGTTTTTTGGAGTCTGGTCACCCAACCTTTCTTCCAAGGGGTCTCTGGGTAGCTTTGAACTCCCAACCTTTGAGTTATCAGCCAAGCACCTTAAGCATTTGCACCATGCAGGGACTTTAGGAACTTCTCAAGCCCACTAGGATTGTTCTCTAGGCTTTCTGAGACTATAGACCTTTGTGGGAACAGACTTCCTCGAAGTGGCTGGCAGGTTCATACTGGCAACATTTTGGTAATAAGCTTAATTCTTAGCTCACTACGCCACCTCTTTATGTATAGTAACTCTAATACAGCTCAATGCACAGTGGGTTCCTCTTACCCTCTCTGAACCATGGAGCTATAGTTCCCACTATGACTGCTGCAAACCTTAAGCAAACCCAAACTAAACCCATTGCCAAAACGGATCCCAGTCCACAGTGCCACTCAACCGGGTTTCCAGAGCTGCAAATCTTAATGAAAGGAAATGGGCCATCTTTCTCCCTTCAAAGCAGTTGGTGTGTTTGAACTGCCAACTTTCCAACTAGCAGCTCAAACTCAACCAACTTCAGAGCCAATCTCTTCAACAGACGTATCATCTGATGGCTGTAAGTATCCTTCCTCTGTAGCCACCGGGCAATTCTAATGTAGGGTCTTTCTGTTGATTTCCATTTGAAGAATTGCCCCGTGTCTTCACCTTGTAAATACTGCCTTACCTCGGCTCTCTAACCCTTACATTCATATCCCACATCTCAGGGAGCTCCAGTGGCCTAGTGGGTAAGGAATTGTGCTGCCAACTAAATATAGGCAGTTCTAATCCACCAGTGACTCCTTGGGAGAAAGATGGACAGTCACATCCCATGTGATTGACACCCTCTGAACACCCATTGGACAGTCAGCTCTGAGTCTATTCCGACTCAACACTAAAAGCAATTTAATTAGGAGGCATTCCATGATAGAATTCTAACATTTCTTCAGATACATTTTCCTTGAAGATACATTTACTATGCCATATTTCACAGGGAAGAAGCAGAAAAAAAGAAAAGATGTCTGATGGCTTAAGGCATTTTTTGAAAGGGATCATGATTTTAGACTCATAGCAAAATGCTGTCCAACAACTAATAGCAGCCCTCATTTTCTCCTCACTAGGTTTTGAAAGTCTAAATGTTTCAGCCAGTGCTTTGGAAAGTCAAAAACCAAAGGAAGCAGCTCAGGAAGATTGGAAGTACAACAGAGAGAGGTTACTTTACACCTTGGAAGACAAACGTATTCATAAATGTCATACACCATTGTTGAAAACGGAAGGCTCTCTAGAAAAAGGAGAAGAAAGAGACTTGAGGGGCTCGGATTCCTCAGCCAATGCATCCCAGTGGAAAGGGGAGGCCGTGAAGGACTCGACAGCCACCACCCATGGTTGCTCAGGAAATGATAAAGGCCACGTGGAAAGCTCACAGGCTTGCTGTCCCTCAGGTGACATTTGTGTCACCAAGTTGGATAAGAACGATGTGTCTTCTGCTTGTAGCCGTGACCATGGCAGCAGCTTAGAGCTGGGAGCCCCCAGAGGCAGAAGAAAGTCCCTTCTCACCTTACAAGATGGAGAAGCCACCACTGGCGAGTATGCTACCAACTTGGCTGAATCTGTGCTGCAAGATGCCTTTATCAGATTATCCCAGTCTCAGCCTGAACCGCCCCAGGAATCAGCCACCTGTGATTCTGCAGGAAATGCCGTGCTCACTGGTTGCTCCAGGAAAGATGAGGTGACCCCTCAGTCATGGAATGAGCTCCCCAAAATTGTCATAGTGCAGAGTCCAGATGGCAGCGATGCTGTCACCGAGCCGGGCACTTGTTCATGGCCTGACACAGAGGCCTCCGCTGTGAGCCCAGGCATCCTCTCTGGAGACAGTGCAGGCAGACACCCCCAGAGCGCCCTGGAAGTGGTGCTCGCCTGTGCGGCCACTGTGATTGGTACCATCTCCAGCCCTCAAGCCACAGAAAGACTCAAGAAGGAGCAGGAGGCGCTGCTATCCGGCAGTGTGCTGGGCGGTGGAGAGGCGCAAGTGAGCCCAGGCGACCGGGCCCTGAAGGAGCCCCTGCTTGGCGAGTACTCCTTCCCATCCGCTCTGTGTGGCATGACTCAGGTGGCCAGTGCTGTGGCTGTCTGTGGTCTGGGGGAGACGCAGGACGAGGGGTGCCTTGCTGCTCCTGGTTCTCCAGCGGTCCCGGTGCTGGGGGTGTTAACCCCGGAGAGGAGCGTGGAGGTGGACAACGAGGCCATGGCCGAGGCACTGCTCAGAGAGGCCTCACTGGTTTTGATGAGGCCCACTTCCCACCGTAGCCCTGAAGACCTCCTGGAGTCAGTGGGCAGGAGGATCCTGGAGGGCACATCGCGGCCTCAGGCCCTGTACTCAGAGAATCTCCTCAGGAATGAACTGGCACAGAACCTGGCCGCGGTGATCCTGAAGCATTCCCTTGAGGAAGTGCACCAGAGAAATACAACAGGGGAAGCCAATGAGGGCAGGCGCCCATCCGACACGCTGGACGCCCTAATGGAAAGCACACACCAGCTGCTCTTCAGTGTGATGTGCTTCACGTTCAAGAAGATGAGCCTTCTGGCACAGCTCGGGGATGGTCCCCCCAAGGAGGCCTTCAGGTGGGGGGAAACAGGATCGGGCTGCCAGGTGCCTGACCAGGTCGCTAGTCACACGTGGCCAAAGGCCACTGAACACACTGTGTGCCATTCAGCTAGCAATCCGCCCAACATTAGTCTCGTCACTAAAGAGACTGTACGTTACATGCTTCCAGAACAAGAGAATAAGGGTGGAGCGAGACCTGGTCTCTTCAAAACGCCCACCCTGCAAGCTGAATTGTCCTGTGAACTGTCCTATGTCAAGCTCAATCACCATGTACATGATTGCTCGGCCGCTGAAGTTGTGACCTCCAGGGAAGCACATCTCAAAGGAGCCATGGGGGAGACCACACAGACCCATCCCCGACCGCCCAGTCTCCCTGAGGGTGAATGCCCAACCTCTCTAGATGTACTCAAGGCACCTGTGGTCAGCAGAAGAAAGGGATCCCAGGATGGAGAGGACGGACTGACCCTCAGCACTCCAGAAAGCCACCAGGGTGACTCACCATTCAACAGCGAAGTTCAAGTCAACTTGTCTCTGTTAGGAAATGACTCGCTGCGGCCCGCTCAGCCCTTGCTACAGGCAAAGCACGCAGACATCTACTGCATTACAGACTTTGCCGAAGAATTAGCAGAGACTGTCGTCTCCATGGCAACTGAAATCGCAGCAATTTGCCTCGACAACTCCAGTGGCAAACAACCTTGGTTTTGTGCGTGGAGAAGAGGCAATGAGTTTCTGGTTACACCAAACTTGTCCTGCCGGACCTTGAAGAGGAAGAAGGAGAGCCAGGCTGGAGGGGCCACAGTCCGAAAGCACAAGCCCCCCAGGCTCAGCGAGATCAAGAAGAAGACAGAGGAGCACCCGGAGCTGAAGGAGAAACTGATGAACAGGGTGGTGGACGAGTCTGTGAACGTCGAGGAGGCCCCAGATTCCATGAACGTCTTTGCCAATGAAGTGGCCACCAGGATCATGAACCTAACGGAGTTCTCCATAGTAGACGGGGTGTGGCAAGCCCAGGGCTACCCCCGGAACCGGTTCCTGGGAGACAGATGGAACCGGCTGAAGGCCTCGAGCTGTGAGAGCATCCCCGAGGAGGACGGTGACGCCAGGGCCTTTGTCAACAGCCTGGGCCTCGTGACTACCCTCAGTCAGCCGGTGAGCAGGGCCAGCTCGGTCTCCAAGCAGTCCAGCTGTGAAAGCATCACCGACGAGTTTTCCAGGTTCATGGTGAACCAGATGGAAAGTGAAGGCCGGGGCTTTGAGCTGCTGCTGGACTACTACGCTGGCAAGAACGCCAGCACCATTGTGGCCTCGGCCATGCAGCAGGCCTGTCGGAAAAACGACCATCTGAGCGTGAGGCCGAGCTGTCCCTCCAAGCAGTCCAGCACAGAGAGCATCACCGAGGAGTTCTACAAGTACATGCTCAAGGACATGGAGCGGGCCAGCAAGGACAGCCCCCCATCCAGGAGAGGCAGCCACGACTGGGCGGCTGGACTGCTGCCTCCTCCCGCACGAGGCCCCTTCTGTTACCGACAGTCGTCCATGCCGGACAGCCAGTCGCCATGCTCCAGGTTGACGGTGACCGCACCCATCAAAGCCAACTCCTTGGATGGCTTCGCCCAAAACAGCCGACAGGATTTCCTCAGCGTGCAGCCGGTCAACCGTGCTTCCTCTTCGGGCCTCTGCAAATCTGACTCTTGTTTATACCGCAGAGGGGGCGCGGACCACATCACAAGCATGCTGATCCACGAGACGTGGGAGAACTCCATTGAGGCCCTCATGCGAAAGAACAAAATCATCGGGGATGACGTCGATGCAGCTGAGGCTGAGCCTGTGGCCAGCGGCTCCCCAGTCCAGGGGAAGAAGTGTGCAGACAGGCTAGCTTCAAGCAGAGGGCCAAGGGGTCCCACCATGCTTGGTCAGGAGTCTGTCAACCACCCAAGAAAAGATTCCCTCACTGAAAGCAAGCCCTGCCCAGCATCATCTCCATTCAAAGCTGCTTCTCTTACAAACCACAGTGTTGTAGAGTCTAGAAAGGAAGCTTCCCCGTGTCATGAGGCTAAGCGATCACTGTGTTCGAGGGAAGTGCCTTTAATTCATATTGAAACAGATCAAAAGGAAGAGTGTGGTATGGAGCCTGAAGATGCCCTGCCCCAAAGTAGCCCTCAGAAGGAAGCAGAAGAACATTCCAGTGAAGAAAAGGTCCCAGACATGGTGAGCGGCAAAGACTTAGAGGCCAGCAGCTGCCAGAAGCATAGGTGAGTGCACTGTCTACTCTGAATGAGGGTGGGACTTGAGTCTGTGGGTATCCTGTCTGAAACCTAGGGAACTTCACTGAGGGAGATAAGAGCCAAATTCTTTAGATAGGAAGTGAATTTTCTGGACTGATTCACACTAGTAATAGAAAATTGGGAGGATCATTTTTTTGTTTATTTGGTTTTGCTTTTAATTCTGAAACAAACTGAATTCATATTTATGAGAGAGGAAATATTCAATAATTCATTCAATTAAATGTAAGCTTCTGTAGTTCACAACTTTAAAAAAAATCATTCATGGCAAATTTCAAGTTGAATAAAGATGAAGTGATGCCAGTTTGTAAATTTGAAATCAGTTCCAAAAATATGTATTCTTTTTTAAGATGGAGAGCTGGCATTAGATCTTGTGGTATCATTTTTTAATTTTTATTCTGGCCTCTATGTTGAAGGTTTCCATGTTTGTTTGTTTGTTCCAAAGATATTTTTAAGGACAATACATTCTACAAATGCTGGCCCTTTAGGTGCGTGGTGTAACTGTCGCAATACCGTTCAAGAACAATGTGATATTCCTGTATTAATAATTTCCTGTGTAGAGTATTGCAACGTAGGTGATTTCAGTTACTAAATTCCTCCTTATATGACTCAGAGCAGATTCCTTACTCACTCTTCACTGCATTTTACCCATCAGTAAGTGGGAATAAATATAGTGCTCGCATAAGACAACGTCTAAGGTTATAAAAAAAGTGCACATAGTTCCTTTTCACCCATTATAAGCACTCAATAAATGTCTGCTCTGTCATTGTTGCCATTTCAGGTTAGAATATATGGTTGTCTTTATTCTATAGTGTTTTTCCCCAAGAGAATGGGGTTTTAATAGTTCAATAATTATAGTAAAACAAGAGAATAGAATCCCCAGACTCTCTAGAGGCGAAACTAAGTCAGCTCTAGATGATATTTCCTAAGCTCAGAGTGGTTGTCATGAGGTTCATATGTCAAAATTGCTAAATACAAAATTGGATTCCTACCCATGTAAGACAGAAGTGAGTGATATAGACACTCTTAATTCTGCTGTACTCCTGTCATGCTAGAGAACTGCCCAGCTTAACCTAGAGGAGGAGGTGGTGGTGGTGGTGGTGGTGGTGGTGGTGATGTGCTGGCCCATTCAAATTGACCACTTGCTCTTCAGGAGAAAGTTTATTTCCTCCCATGTGATTTTGAAGCCTCTGAAAATCTGTTAGAGGATCAGCTATGACTCAGTTCTGACTTGACGGCAATGAGAGAGAGAGAGAATTTAATATGATAGTGTCCTTAAGACATTCATTGCTGCTCTCTGAAGATAAATATAATCCAAATTGTCATGATTCTTACTAAAATTTCTATAAAGAGCTCGCATAGGAATAATTTTTTCCCTACTTTTTTGTCTGATAGAGTAACAGCTTCAGTATGAGCCACGGAAGTCATACCCAAATAAAAAACCTGCGATCAGTTAACCCACCATATCTTTCAAGCTACTTAAATTTTCCCTATCTGTAAAAAGTTTAAATGACTTGGGTTTAGCCGGCTCAAAATTTCTGGGAAAACTATTATCCTATTGGTGGTCATGATTGAAAATGCCAAATACTTGTTCTAGTCGCTTCATAGGCATGTGAAAGTTGAGCAATAAATAAGAAGACTGAAGAGGTGGTGCCTTTGATGTGCTGTTGGTGGAGATTGTTAACCATGAACCACCTAAAGAAAAAAACAGATTTTCCCTGGAAGTGTGTTCCTTAGAAGCAACAATAGACTTTTTACACCTTATGAAGTAGCCAGTCCCTGGAGAATATCATGAATTCCAAAGTAGAAGATCAATGGGGAAAAAGGAAGACTTAATGAAACGGAATGACACAGTGGCTGTCACCACAAGGTTAAGCACCTTAACACAAACATTGTGAAGATGATGAAAGGTGGACCCTGTTTTGTCCTGACACACACAGAGTTTCCATGAGTAGGAAACGACTTGATGGTACCTATCAACAACAGCTTTTGCAGGCAGCAATGAAATCTGATCTCAAGCCCCCTCTCCTGAATCACAGCAGAGCAATGTTCCTGCTGTTTGCTACTTTGAGAACATCAGGTATGAAGGTCTGACATACTGGGAATTCTGAACATATACATAATGTACTTGCTTCATGATTTGATTTTTTTAGGAGCATACTTCCTGATGTGTACTTACTCATTTATATTTGCAGCAAGAGAAAAAAAATTATTCATTAAAAAAAAATGTGAGTGACTATTCTACAATCTGCTCCGTAATTAGGACTGGAAACACAGAAACTCCAGAGATGTGATATTATAACCACCAGTCTTATATGCTAAAAGTGGAGGCAGACTCCAAGTATGGAAAATTAGTATGGGAACTCTTTTGGAAAACCCCTGTTGTAGTGAGGAAAAAGAAGCAAAAAATGACAATCTGATAGAGAACAGTTAGCCAGGGGAGATGACTACTTTATTAGGCTTTGGATTTGACTCAAGACCCAATGGAAGAGAAGGTGAGAAGCACCCAAAAAACCAAAAAGAAGACCTAAGCGTTGTGGTGCTCTGGTAACTAGACCAATCCCCACCACCACCACCACCACCACTACACACTCTAATTTATACAGGTTCTGGATCATAACAGCATTTAAATGCAAGATTGAACTTAACTACTAATTTGTTTACTGTTGAGTCCATTCCAACTCATGCAGACTCCCTGTAAGCCAGGGTAGATAGACTGTAAGGTTTTCAGTGGGCTTCTTCCCAGAAATAGATTTGCCAAGGCTTTTAACAGAGATGCCTCTGTTGATAATTCATATGTACTGATTATTTAAAGACTGTAAAATCCAACACTCAACAGCATAAATTCACAATGTCACATCCAATCAAAAATTGTCATACATTCAGAGAAGCAGAAAGATGGGACTCATGAAGAGGAAGAAAACCAGATAATAGAAACAGACCCAGAAACGACAAAGATGGTCAAATTCAGAGATAGGCCTTTATTTATATGGCTATTAATATGGTCAAAGATTTAAAAGTACGCATGTGTAGGAAATCTAATGATCATTATAAATTCACAAATAAAAAGAAGATTCAACCATACTAAGCAAGATAAAGGGAAATCCCGTGGCCTCGTGGTAAAGAGTTGCATTGCCAATCCAAAGGCAGGAAGTTTCAATCCACCAGCCGCTCCACGGGAGAAAGATGGTCAGTTTCTTCCTGTGAGATTTACCACCTCTGAAAATCTACCGAAGGGTCAGCTGTGAGTTGATTCCAACTCTATGGTATATAACAAGAAGCAAGGTAAAGGAGCCCTGGTTGGTATGTAATATCTGCCTGCCAGTTGAAAAGTCAGCAGTTTGAATCCCACAGTCTCCCGTGGAAGAAGTCTAAGCAGCTGCCTCCTATGGAGAATTATGGCCTCAGAAACATAAGGGAGGTGCACTATGAATTGGAAATGACACAACGGCAGTGCTTTTCAAAAGCAAGGTAAAAAAACAGAATTAATCAAGGCACGTAATAGTTGATTAAATTTTAATGTCAAATGATAAAGAATCTTAAGATAAAAAGCCCAGAGAAAGGGAAACATTAAATCCTGCAAAATAAGAATTGTAGCATTTTTCTCATCAGAAGCAATGTAAGCCTAGAGACAAAGTTTAGCATTTTTCTAATGCAAGAAGGGGGGGGGATGTCAACCAGTATTCTTTATCCAATGAAAACACCCTGAAAAATAACTTTTAGAAAAATAAAATCTGTGTCAATGAGAGCAGCCTGGTTTAATCCTCTCCAGGATGAACCTATTTGTTCTCTTAGCAGTCCATGGTATATTCAGTACTCTTCTCCAACACCACATCAATTCTACTTCCATCCTCCCTAGTCACTATCCAGTTCTCTGATGCATAGCAAGTGATTGAAAAGACCATGGCCTGTATCAGGCACATCTTAGTCTCCAGAGCAACACCATTACTCTACAGTACTTTGGAGAGGTCTCTGACAGCTGACTTTCCCAGTGCAATTCGTCTTTTAATTTCCTGGCTGCTGGTGCCAAGAGTTTTGACTGTGGAGCCAAACAAATCAAAGCTGTGAACAATCTCAATCTCTTCACCATCTATCACAATGCTGCCAATTGGCCCAGTGGTGAGAATATTTGTTTTCTTGATATTGAGCCTCAATCCATATTTAAGACTGCAGTACTTGACTTTCTGCAGCAAGCGCTTCAGATCCTCCTCAGTTTCAGCAAGCAGTGTTGTGTCATTTGTATAAAACAGAATGTTAATGAGTCCCCCTCCAATCCTGATGTCATATTTCTCTTCATAGAGCCCAATCTCCTGGATAATCTGTTCTGCATATAGATTAAAAAGGTATGAAGATCAGACACATCCCCTTGGAGGCAAGGATTCT